CATATACCCCTGTGGATATATTCCAATCATAAACAAAGTGTCTTTTTGAACCTTCATAGTTCTTTTCCCACTTCATTTTGAAACTGCTTGTCCACAATTCATTTTGCTCAACAAGTTGGTGAGTTGTTTGACATCTACGAGTATATCGTTCAACGGTTTGCTCCAATGAAAGTCTAACCATGGCAGTGACAGGCAAGCCTCGAGCTTTCTTTAGAAGTCCGTTGAAAGACTCTGAAAGATTTGTTGTCAATACTCCCCATCTTTTTCCATCATCATGGCTAACAGTCCATTTGTTCAATGGAATTTTGCATTTCAGATACATCCTGATCAAATTGATTTTGAAGATTTACCCCACAATTATTTTGAGGTAAATCTCCAATATCTTCATCGGATTCACTTTCAATGGCTTTACTCTCTCCATCATCTTCTGAAGGTTCATCCTCCTCCAAATTTTCCTCACTTCTTTGAGCATATGTATCATTACACAAATCAAAGGTAGTTTCATTCTCTCTGTAGAAAAAAAAGTCAATTTCATGAAATACATAAAATGAAAATAATTAATTATTCATGGTACTAAATAGAATTAGTATCTCTTATATGAAAATATTACTCTACCTGGTTTCATATTGGTTGTGGCTACTCTCCATATGTCTTTGACTACTCGAACATTCAGCATATGATCGATTTTCATGTTCGTTAAGGCCTACACCAAATGATTGATGGATACCATGTGTTGCACTGTATGCATAATGAGGCTGACTGATTATGGCAAATCCATAATTTTGAGCCAATAAATTCATATGATAACCATGTTGATCATTCATTCGAAATAGATTATCTTGATTTATTGGTCTAATCTTTATATACATCTCCAAAAGATTTATATCAATCTTGTTCAAAAATTTCTGAGGAATGGCAAAAAATTGTAGCAAAGATTGGTCATTCTCAATTTTGAACTCAATAAATCTTGTAATGTTACCTTGAAATGAGCATAGATATTTTCCAGAAATATCCAATTGAATATTTTCACCATCAGTCCCCATTTTCTCATGCAACAATTTAATTAATTCAACGTAGTTGGTCGAAATAGACATGCTTACAATCATTCTTGCACATTCGTTATATCGAAATTTATCCATTTCAGTGATTATTTCACCACCCCAATACAAAGCAATCATCACGTTATCTTCAAAATTAGCCATCAAAAATCCTACACACAAAAATAAGATGCATTATAGTTATTAAAAATATGTTTTTATAAATACATTACAACATATTGACATAACTTACCTATTAAAATTTTGTGAGTATTGATTCAACAATGGGGCACATAAATAGAAGCTTTGTAGAAAATTATTGGAATGTGATAAACATTCTACACCACCATTTCTTATAATGATCCGTGGTCAAATTGTAAAAGGATCACTTTAACAGTTTGTTGTTCCTGTCAGTCACGTTTTAAAGTTAAAACGTAACGTATAGTAACGTTTTATTGGCAAATCAAATCAATATGACATCTCTAGAGCCCTGTGACATGATTCGATAGAATCGTTACTCATAGTAACGTTTTAGTCTTAAAACGTGACTCATAGTAACGACTTTAACGTCAGATTTCGTACAAAGATTCTAAGTTGGGGGACGTGATTTGATTGGACAGAATCGTTACTAGGAGTAACGTTTTACCATTAAAACGTGCTTCGTAATAACGAATTTTGGTAGAAAGACTTGAAAGTGGCAGATTTGCAGAGACTCGTTACTGATGGTAACGTTTTAAGCCTAAAACGTTACTGCTAGTAACGTAAATCTTCTTTAACGCCGTCTCCCAAATATTTTTGGTCCGTTTATTTTTTAAAATGAAATAAAGCCTAATACGTTACTACCAACAACGTTTATACTAGTTTTGTAAAATTTTAAAGTTTCATATTACTTTGGTGAATTGAATAAAAAAATAGCTTGTTTTGGTCAACACTTCTGAAAATAGAAAGTAATTCCATCAGCACCAATAAAACGTGGATCTTGGCAAACTGCTGCTGGCTTGTCACAACCTGTAGACGTTTATATAAATTACATGCTTCAGTGTATATAAGTTAAATTGAATTATTATAGAAAGTATATATATATATATATGTGTGTGGAAGAAAAACTTACTGCAAACAGGTTTGCAAGAGACACAATCAACTTGACAAGTAGCGGGGCAACTACTAGGGCATATATATATGTTATTGATCGTAACATTTGAGATATTTCTTGTCTTTGCTCTTACACTTAACTTTCTTTGGAGATGTTGATGGGCCATCGATGCAAATAGGTTTACAGGAACGACACTCAGTTATACATCCATTAGGACAGAATTTGGGACAAACATGTGGAAGATTTTTGCATTGTTTGATCTCATCATCAGAGCAATGAGAATGCAGGTTCCAGGAGGAGTAGCCTCTACTATTGCTACAATCATTACTAATAATTGAGCCATTTTAATTTCCTTTTTTAGTAAATATGTTGATGAATAAAATTGTATTGAGTTATGGGATTTGCTTAGGAACAATTAATCTCTTTTTATAGGAGTTGAGAATGAGAAAAGTAAGCCTATTGTTTCGTGTCATAATGCCAATGTTTGTGTGTTTTTTGATAAGTAATCTAGCACATACTTTAATTTCTTTTATTAAGTCAACTTCAACATTCTCTATCAATTCCCCTAGTAATTTGTCGCTATTATTCATATAAGCATAATATAATAGTATATGTCATCACTTAGCTTGATCATAAAGTATATATTACATTATTTTTATACATCGTAAATCATGACATTAATAATATGAGTTATTATTCATATTTTAATACATCATATTCATGAATATAACTTTTAATCCATAACTAGTGGAGTACTGTATATATTATACGCAACCTACGATACAATCAGACAAAGCGATATACAATATTCATGAATAAAAGGAAGAAATATGTTTAACTTGTGAAGAGTTTATAGTACTATTATTATTGAAGTACATGTAATATAATGTTGGGAGGGTTGGCCCTTTTCTTCCCAATTAATCTGGAATAATTAGGAGTTTGCGTAATTTCATTAGTACGTATATTTTATCAAACTATCCCTATTAAATGATGTTTACTTAGATCTTGGAAATGATTTGGAAGATAAACATTTAATCCTGAGGGTAAAACATTTTTTAAAAAAATTATCTTTTCTTGAAATGTCAAAAGTGACAAGTAAAAGTGAACGAAGGAAATATTTCAGAGTTTCGCATGCATGGCTTGATTCGCTGTTGGCGCGTATGTATTGGAAATATATATACAAACGCAATATATATAGTAATACAATCAGATCTTTCTATAATAGTTAATTAATTTATGACAATATTTCACTCTAATGAACGATATATATAGTTTTCTTTGAAGCTGACTTTCATATTGTGTTATATTCCATATTCTCTATAATAGAATTTTACCGTAGAAATGTTATATTCAAACAAACGATATCATTATAAAGGGAGTCATTTACTGTAAAAAATATTATATTCAGATAAACGATATCATTATAAAGAGATTTGACTGTAATAATTATATCATGATAATTGATACCACTATTAAGTAGTACTCTGAATTGTTTGTGTCTATCAAACTTAAAGTTGGCACTTCCATGTTACGTACATTGAAGCTAATTATTTTCATTAAGTGACTTCTATTCTACTAAGTCAAACTCATAAAATGTCCTTTTTTTAATTTCTTGTCGTTATACTCTGTTGATGAATTTATGGAATATTACTACATTTCCATTAGAGTGGGGGAAGACGTTTAATTTCTTCTTCCAATTCGTCTATTACATCCTGAATTTTGATAATTTTTTGTTTTTAAATGCATGCAACAATATAGTTATTGACATTTTTGTGTAGACCAAGAAAAACTATGCGAAAGGGAAGTAACAACAAAAAGATGGAAGAAAGGTTAAAAAAATAAAAAAAGAATTACACAGCAGAAAAAATTCACACTTCTCTTTATATACTTCATTAATCACTATATTTAATCGATTGATCGGTCAACAATTAATTTACGGATCAATCTTACACAGATTAAATCCCCTAAGCAGACTAGAAAAGTTATTTCCTCGTTCAAATGTCGCTAAAACGTACCTTAATACATAAGCTTTAATTTACATAATTCAATTCTACTTCGAATAGATTGGTTTTTTCAGCCTTTATATATATATATATATATATATATATATATATATATGAAAGTACCACAAGTTGAGAAAACTATCAAAATTTCCCTAATTCTTACACAATCTTACCAAATGAGCAAACTATAGTTCATAAATGAGCTATTAGAATATCCTAAGAGCAAATTTGATAAATCACATATTTCCATGTTCCTTTTATAAATAAATATTTGCAATTGCAAAATTTCTATACACATTATTTAGGGATCCTTCTTTATAAAGATCCGCTAGTCAATAATAATAGTAACTAGTTATTCTTTATAATTCTTTTATATGGTACGAACAATCTCTACATGAGCATGAGTATTTTTTACAAAATTTATAATAATGTTTATTTATTTTTTTTATAAAAATATAAATTCATGGGTCAAATTTTACATTTAAAACTTTTGAAATCATAATTTGGAAAAACTAAATCATTTTTTTCCTTAAGAGAATTTGAGATATGGAGTAAATAAGTAAAAGTAAACAAAGGGGGTGGTGGCGCAGTTGGCTAGCGCGTAGGTCTCATAGCTTCTGAGTAATCCTGAGGTCGAGAGTTCGAGCCTCTCTCACCCCATTTATAATTTTTTAAATAAATTAATTAATTACACAACTTTTTCGGAATATAAAAGAGCAAAACAATAATCTTATTTGAAGTTTAGTACATATATAATTTTTTTATTAAGCATAGTTTTTGATACATTCCATGGTTTCTAATTAACCTTTTTTTTTTTTAATTTCTAGTGATCAGTCATGAACACAATCAATGTTTAAACAAGAAATTCTAGCGTTTGCAGACCACTCCACGACCAGACATTCCGCTGCTACATTTCAAGTTGGGCAGCTCCAAATTATTCAACAAACCCTTATTTACTGCTTGAAACTTAGCAACAGAGCAATCAGCATTAAATAGACCTGAAGCTGAAAATTCTTTGTCACCTCCCATTACAGGCATCAAAACACCCATTTTCACTCTGCTCACATAATTTCTTCTATAAGTTTGGCCCAAAACACCACTGACTTCATCACTTAGTGACAAAAATTTGAATCCAAGTTCAAGATGAGCAAAACAATCGTCTTGTGTTATCCCATAATTATGAACTCGCGATTCTTCCTCTGTAATAGGCACCACCTTTGCTGTAATCTTCAAAATGTTTTCAACTTCGATTATAATTTCATTGGTGTCACTTGTTCGAGTAATGGAAGTCGTTGGTCCAGTTTCAGACTCCCACCTGTCGAGACATCATATAATAAAATAACATAAGCTTTTAAATGAAAGTGAATATTTGTGCAAATAAAATAAAAATTGTACATGTTTGGCTCATTAAAAACCAAATTTGTGAACAATGTATTGAGACATAATATAATTAAACAGTACCTTGCGCCTTCATTGTCTGGGAGAAGGATAGTTTCACCATCAAAGTTTAGGTAAAGACGGTCGACGGCATCATCCCATGTTGCTGTCTTTTGTGCTCCAATAGAGATGTTGTGAGTAGCATAAAGGATACCAATGGCTTGAACCCAAGTGAAGTCTCTCTTCATGTTTTCATTTCGTTTTCCTATGAAGTGACCATTGATGTGGAGGTTAGAGTCTGAGACTAAGCAAAAATCTTTGTCCTTCTTGCCGTGGAAGTAGAAAGTAATTCCATCCGCACCAATGAAACGTGGATCTTGACAAACTGCTCCAGGCTTGTCACAACCTACGTAGACGTTCATATAAATTAAAACACTTGGTTATTGGATATATATACTATTAAGAAAAATGGTCCCTAAAAGTTCAAATATGGTCCTTATAGTCAATAGGGACTATAAAAATCAACTTCTCAAATGGAGCAATTTTTAATACTATCAGGTTATTAAAAAGAGAAACTTACTGCAAACAGGTTTGCAAGAGACACAATCAACTTTACAAGTACCAGGGCAAGTGCTAGGACATGTATGTTCTTGATTGTAACATTTGCTATGTTTCTTGTCCTTGCTCTTACACTTAACCTTCTTTGGGGATTTTGGTGGATGGGGGTGATCGTGAGTTGGAGGTGGAGGTGGAGGTGGGGATTTTGGTGGATGGGGGTGATCAGGAGTTGGAGTTGGAGGTGGAGGTGGGGATTTTGGTGGGTGGGGAGTTGGAGTTGGAGGTGGAGGTGATGGTGATGGACCATCAATGCAAATAGGCTTACAAGAACGACACTCGGTTATGCAGCCATTGGGACAAAACTTGGGACAAACATGTGGGAGATTTTTGCACTGTTTGATCTCATCATCAGAGCAATGAGAATGGCTTGGATGATCGGCTATTCCAGGGGGAGTAGCCTCTACTATTGCCACTAGCATTACCAATAAAATCCCAAATAGTGCCACAACATATGATCGAGACATTTTCCTTATGAATATATGAGAACCTTATAGTAAATATGTTGTTGAAATATTTGAGTTGTGGGATTTCCATAAAGAACAACCTCCTTTTATAGGGGTTGAGTTAACTAGAGGATGAGGAAAATAAGCTTGTTCTTTCGTGTCATAATGTCAATGTTTTTTTTTTCTTTTTTAATAATTGCATGTTTCTTGATAAGTCATCTTGTAGCACATGCTTCTTTTATCAAGTCAACTCTATTTTCTTCAATTTCTTTACTAGTTTGTCGCTATTTGTATGAACGTATGGCATCACTTGATAGTAAAGTTGCGAAACAATAACAATACTATTGTGAACCCTACATATGAAGCAATGAGAAGGAATAAACAAGTTTATAACTTGTGAAGAACTTATAGTAATAATTAAGAGTGATGCTCGTGGGGTGGCGAGGGTCGGTCCTTTTCTTGTCAATTAATCTGGTATATAATAGAGTGGTTTGCGTACTTTCAATAGTACGTAAAAAACCACATATTCTGATATTCATCTCAATATGTGGGTTGAATGGATCTCATATTCTTTTTAGGTGTGGAAGTGAATTCATAAGAAAGTCCCGTGGAGCAAATAATTTAACCAAATATATACATACATATTACCGATGAGAGTAACTTTCAATGGATTAGTGAAACACCCATGAAATTTTCGTCGAAAAGCAATATAATGACGACAGTAAACATCATCACCTTAAGACAAAAATAACTTGGATCTAAATATGTTGATGATACTGTCAATCCATAAAACCATAAAACATAAACATGAAAACTGCAGATTATTAGCTCATGCAACGCATTTTCAGCGTAACAGCTGATAACAATTACAGCCTAAACTACTCTGAGAATATGTCCCCTTTGCAGCACTTTTTCTTATTCAACGCTATCTCCAGTGCAGTGCTTCCTGCAGCAATTTATCCAAGCAAACAAAGAACAAAAGAAAAGGTTATAAAATCTCATGCTATGTACTGTGGGGCCGTCAGATCAAATGGATTCAAGTATGGTATACACAAGAAATTAATAGCGAGGAGATGCAATAACCAAGATCGGATAGAAAGTTTTTCACACTGAACAAGACAGCATAAAAGGTAACATGTTATTTATCAAAAAAGATAAGACATACAAGGCAACATGTTTAAAAGTACCTTATGGTTGAGGGGGATACGAGGAGAGTGTTACTTAATCAGTATACATCTAATAGGTGATCCCTCCGCACCAAGCAACCTTAAGGGCAGACAGTGTACAGTGTACAAGCCAGCTTCTATATCATCCAGCTTCAGCCCTTCTACAAGAATAATCTCCTGGAATATTTCAAATACCATAATGTTGGCAGGATTATTAACTGGCTAACAAGTAAATGTCAATAATGTGACTAAAGTATAAACATTCTATTGTCTCCTTAAAACAAAGAACAGAGATAATACTTGACTATAATTTTCTTTTTCTCAAAAAAACAATCATCCAACTCGCTTTCACAATCTAGAAAACACAGATCATGTCATAGGTCAACCATCAAAAGGTTGACATATTTCCAATGTTTAAGTTCAACTAACCTCCACTCGGTTACCAACTCAGATTTCATCTTTTATGAGTTCCATTACATGAAAAGGATAAACAGGAATGACATACAAGTTAATATTTGCCACCGCCTCCTCTAGTTCTCTACATATATTTTTTTCCTTCATAAGGAAAACTTCAGCTAAGGAAGTGGAGGAGGCACATGCACTTAACCATTAAAAATTGACAACCCTCCATAACTTAGAAGGTTAAGATGCAAATATTGTGTAGTTTCAAGGTAAAGAAACTATGATTGTTAATTGTCATTATTGCGTGACTATTCAGATTTCTTCTACAAATGTAGTACAAGTGAAGATCAACAGACCCACAATAACCTTACCAGCTTTGCAGATGACATCTAGTGCATAAGATTTTGAAAGCACCATAATTGCTACAACTAGCATCAATTTTGAGTTGCTGGTGATTAGAGTTAGATGCTGCTTGTAGCAATTAGGAAAGGGAAAAAGGACAAATATACCCCTGAACTATCGTAAATGGTATGCAGATACCCTCCGTCATACTTTTGGGACATTGGTGCCCCTGCTGTCCAAAAACTAGAGCAAATATGCCCTTCACTCTAACAGAAGACTAAATAGGGACACGTGGCGCAATCTTATCCGTCGATCCGATATTTAATAAATGTCGGATGGGTGGATAAGATTGTGACACGTGTATGTCCGTTAGTATAAAGGTATATATGCTTTAGTTTTTGGACGGCAGGGGCACCAATGTCCCAAAAGTATGACAGAGGGTATCTGCATACCATTTACGATAGTTCGAGGATATATTTATCCTTTTTCCCATTAGGAAATATTACAGTGAATCATTTTGTTATCGGCCCTTCACCGTATTTAGTTGGACCAAGGTTAAATAACACCAAAGAAGTTTCCTGGTAAATAAGAAGTTGGGAATCTGATCTAAATTTTGAAAAATATAGGAAAGCAGGAATTTTCTATCTCCGTGATATGCAATCACTTTCTGTTTTTTTTTTCTTTTCTTTTCTTTTCTTTTCTTTTTCCACCTTAAAAAAGAATGAGTTGGATCAATAGTCCCATTTACTGCTAAGAGCAACTAGAATATGTAACACCTTTCTCTTGTAATTATGAAATATTAACTCGAGCCAAAGTAGAAAAATTAGACAATTCAAAAAATCAGAATTCCGCGCAAAGCATAGAATCTTCATTTATACATTTGCAAGCACACAGACACCCCTCAGTCGACACCCCCAATTTTCCCGCGATGTGTATCTAATCATAGGGGGCAAATAAAAGTTCAACTTAGTCCGAATATGACGACTCACCCTGCTTTTCAGGAAAACATGATGGGCAGGAAGCAAATCATCAAATGCAGCAACCGATAAGTAATCAATTCCTGAAAAACAAATAAAAAAATGTTGGCTACGAATTTTTCTACCAGTCAATAATTGATTAAGAGGAAAATCAAGAATAAGTTATCACTCAGTTACACTGGTTGAGCTGCAGCAGTAAGACACAGAAGCCTCTTAGGACAAAGTCAAAATATGGGAGTTCATAATTTGAGGGCAAAAGTTGAGGGAAATGGGAAAGGATAACACCCAGGTTTATAACTATGATGAATTATTGTCAAAGAAATTTGTCAACAGAAGGCAGTAATGGAACAGCTAACTGAGGATAATAAAGTACATGAACCATGACACATACAGACTAAAGGTCGGATAAAGCAAGAAAGTAAAATCAAGTCTAATTCCTTATTCACCATTTGAAAATCCGGACATCAGCCTGACTGAAGATAATACAAATATATACATAATGTATATATGCACGTGTATTAATTCAATACCAGTTCAAGCACTTACATGATCTGCCTGATGTTCCACTTACTCATGAAATGAAGCATAAAGTACTGACACGAACCACGATTCATGCAGAATTATATCTTTTAACTGACAAAATATATTTACACCAAGGATAAGTTCATTCCAGTAATGAGCATGCAAGAAAGTGCAAGCCACGGAAACAATTTTCACATATTACTCCAGATAGTAACTGTGTCAATCAAGCAAGGTGTTACAGGAAGAAGGAAAAAGAAAAAGAGAGAGAGGACCCCTCTGACCAAAGAGGTATAACAGTACACAGTATACTGCTTATAGTTGAGCACTACAGGAAGAAGGAAAAAGAGAAAGAGAGAGAGGACCCCTCTGACCAAAGAGGTATAACAGTACACAGAGTATACTGCTTATAGTTGAGCACTACTCTAACCGACATTCAAACATTCAAGCATGCAGTAAACCATAACATCATAGATTATTAAGATGTCATAGTGTTACAGCCTATCTTACCAACAAGTTTGATGTCAGTGTTGTCCACTAGCCACTGAGCTCCATCCTTCATGAATCCGACATAGCTTGTGTCGAATGCCTTTTTCCACATAAGCCGCCTGAAAGTCATTTAAGTTTAATCAAGACATACTGAACAATTGTAACTGTACATCCAAGTCAAAATCATTTAAAATTCTATGTGAAGTGTTGCTTCAGGGAACCTGATAGCATCTATCCTTCTTTCTATACCAACTGATTATGCATATTAATTCGTTGAAATATGAGCAACAACTACATAAACATCGAGTGCACCAAAATGAAGCTCTTAAACAGCATACACCTGCACCTGCACCTGCACCCGCACCCTTAGAAGGAATCCTACCCTGTTCATGTAAGCATGGGGGAGGAGAACAGAATCAACAAAGATAATAGACTTCTTGAGGAAGATCTCATTCTTTGCACTAAATGCCAAATCTTAATTGCTTATCCTTCGATTAGGTTTTCAAAAAATTTATCCAGCATGAGCATTACCACTAAAAGAACAAGAGAAAAGGTTAGAGACAGATATTTTGTACAATCCATCTACATCAGGCTAGGGTTCGTAATACATGAGTAAAGCATGCGAAACAACAATTGGAATCCCCATGGATGCTTGTTGAGGTACGTACTTAAGATGCTATTTGAAATGTGTAGCCATTCCAGTAACAACTTGACCATTCTATGCCAAAACTGAAGAAGATACAATTAGATATCCACAATGAACAGATAGATAATGTGCTGTAAGTTTTATTATGTTTTTTCGCAATTCACCAATCTACTTTTTGAGATTTTGGAAGAGTAATCTTGGATCTACATTTTGTAGAAGCACATTCTCCAGAGTCAGAGGGTAATTTTTTTTGCTACATTCTAGTTTGTTTTCAACTTCCACTTCCAACTTTCACGATTTAGTCCACAGTCCAAACAAAGCTTTCACTACCAAGACGCAGAAATTGATCACACCCCACACAAGTTCAACTCTTATATTCGCTTACAATTTAGACTTGAGCAAGAAGTAAAAGCGCGAACTTCACTTAACATTTGACAACCCTCTTCCGTACAGCACCACAAAGAAAAAAACAGAAACAAA